TACAGTTTCTGGCTAGTTGCAGTTGAAGCATGGGCTGATCAGATCAGGAGCAAGTCTAAGTGTTGTAATCGCATGTTCGACGATTTCGTCTTCAGCTGAGGGTGTATTTCTGGATGGCGATGCAGATGATGAAGGGCATCGTGGTCATCCTTGTCATCAACCACTACTTGGCGAATCTTTCCCCTTACGGCTTCGCGTGCTTGAAGTGTAGCCATTGTGTGAGGCCGTGTAGCACATGCAGATTGAGTAGGGAAGCTTTCCGAGTGACGGGTAAAAGGGTGGCTGGCTGGTGCTCAGGATTGGCTGGCTGGTGCTGGGCTGCTCGGCTTCCTGGGTGCTTGAGAGCCAGCATGGAACCTCGGACGAGGACGCGTGTACGATTCTGCAGGCAAGTACTTCTGGCACTCGTCGACCTGGGTGGACAACGCCGACATCCGCGACAGAGAATTTTCAGCTCAGCTGCTTGTCTTGCCTGAGAATGGAAGCACAGACCGCAAGTTAAAGTGCCACAGAGTACCGAAAACAGAAGGTTCGAGGGTAACGAGGCATCGCATTCTCCACTGCCCTACACCACCCAACACTTCCGTGCTTGTTCGAGAAGTGACAATCCCGAATTGCTACCATGTCAGGCAACAAATAGTCCGAGTGAATCTGATAATATATGCTCATAGCTGAGCCTGCCACGTCGTTCAAGCTTGCAGACCTTGTACTGCTAGCAGGCTGTCGCACGCTTCACCTTGCTTGGTTGATTGTCTTGCAAAGTTGCACCAGCTTGGTATGCCCGACGACAGGACATTGCTCCGACAAACGGCTTGGAGCGCCTTTATGCTGTGCTGGCACCTTGACGCATGTGCTGTATTTCTCCCGACACTCTTCCGGGCCTGCTGGCCCAACTGACCTGTTTTTCTAGCACGTCTGAAAGCCTTTCCAACGTCACAGAGCTTCCATAGCATCCAAGATTCGTTTCAGCCGTGCCACGTAGAGTCTAAAGTCTCGATATCCTTGATCCTTCTTGCGTCCACTCCTAACTATATCTCCTTCAGCTGTGGTTGCCTAGTGCTCCCTGCAGTACGGCAACCCGAGTCAGCTAGGCTTGTGGCTAAACTAGCCCAGAGATTGCAGCTTCCGAGGCAGTCCTCCTCGCGTGTCTTGGTCGTTCTTAGCAAAAGCAAGTGCTGCCTGCAGGGTATAGCCATGGGAAAAAGTGCTCATCTCAGGTTTGGAGTGTCAGATCCTCAGACACCATGCAAGTCAAATGAACCACGCCAAGCACGGACCGCACGGAAAAAGTCTTGTGATAGGAAGTCTGCTCAGGATTTCTTCCTTCATCACCGGAGTTACCAACACCGCATTCTGGTGGCAACGAGAGGAAGGCTAACGTGCCTACGTGGACATGCAACCAGCGCACAATTGCAAGCGACGTGCACTGCTTGCTCGGGTGCCTGCATGCAGTGTCCACCAAGGTAAACGCATTGCGTGCTGTACGTGTGAGCACCGTAACGCAGGCTGGATAGAGTTGAAGCCTTGGGGACGGAAGAGCTTGCTCCCAGCTGGTGCTCGAATTCTAATTACTTGTGTAGAAGAGTCATCAGAAAGATCGAACTCGTTGCTGCCCGGCTGACATGCTGTCATTCTGTGCCAGACTAGACGCTAATTCGAGCTCTCTTGTCAATTGCAGGAGGCGAAGCTTCGACAGTTCTTCAGCGACAGCCGCTTGACGATATCTCTTTGTCCTAATTCGTCGGTCCGCTGCTCCAGATTCGGTCCGAGTGATGGCGATCCAGCCGAGGACGGTTGCCAGCGTCGCTGCTGAAAAACTGCCTAACAGCCTTCCGGGAGAAAGCCGACAAGACACAGTACATCAGCGAAGAGGAGTCCGTGTGTGTCCCCGCCGCCGAGATAGAATTCGCAAATCGACTACTTAGTCAGGACGTTTCCATTCTGCAATCTTCTCCGGAGAGGCTCCCGAACTCAGCGGCCATAGTTGATGTGCAGCTGCACATGAATGACTCACTTTGATTGAGGCTGAAAGCTCAGCTGCACGAGGAGCCCTCGTTACAAACACTTGCCAGAGTCACTGGCAACATGCAGTCTTACTAGATCTTCGTTGCATGATCAGTGATGTCGCAATGCCGTCCAGTGTATGCTTTCGAAAGGAGATGTTCAAAGGTGTGCTGCTCTCCCGACTTTGGATGCAGTTCGCAGTCCGCCATGACAACACCGGATTGATGACCAACCTCTGCGACCTGGTCGCAGAACTGCATGTATGCACGCCCGCACTCATGATCCAGCCGCGTCTGTCAATCCATCCATCCACCCACCCACCCAACCACCCAATCACCCACCCAACCACCCAACCACCCAACCACCCATCCACCCATCCACCCATCCATCCATTCATCCATCCATCCATCCATCCGTCCATCATCCACACAGGGGTACGCGTACGTTCGCATGTATGTAGGTACGTACGTACGTAAACGTACCTACCTACCCACCCACTCTCCCTACCCCTGCCTACCTACCACCTACCTACCTACCTGCCTACC